TGGAGAAGCTACATGGATGAAGCTGAATTTCAATGCTTTGGTGTATCAAACAATTAATTTAAATAGTTAATTCGTTTTTAAAGAAATTATTTGTATTTTTCAAAAGGAAACATGTTCTCGGCTGACACCAAAGATTATCCCTAACGTATTGTTGTCTTCAAATTAAAGTAAAAACGACGAAGTAAATTCTTCAAGGCATGAGGGTCGTCCTCATCCCTTTATGTGTACACTAAAAATTTTAATTTAAAACAGGTTCAAAGTCTGCTGAAACTTTTAGGTTAACTTAAACTAGAAACAGGTGTAATCAACGGGTTCCCATTATTTATATTTTCATATCCCCAAGTGCCATAGATTTTCTCCTATACTTGTAAATCTCTCTCTAACTCTCTTTCTCGTGTTAGTCTCAGCTGCGCATGTCTGTGTCTGTGTCTGAGAGTCGAAAAATGCAAGCCGAACCATTTCGAAAAAGCGGGCAAAATGGCGCTTTAGCAAATCATTTTCTCGGCTAGAAGGAGAGAGAGGGCTGCAGAGTGAGATGGAAAGAGAAGGAGCAAACTTTGATGCTCTTGTGAAATTTAAGAAGGACCTGAAATCAACATAGCTGCTAGCTGTTGAGCAAAATAGCCCAAAATATGCCCTGAACCAAGGGGCATGGATTTCTTTGCTATGATACATGTGCTATGACTGGAAGTGTTTGTATGTGTGAGTATGAAGGTTTAAGTTAGTAAATGGAACATAAGGCGGGCAACTATAGCAGCAACAGCGACTGCTAACTTGGCCCTAAGGCATATGCTTCTCTCATAAACACACATACACACTCAGATGCTTAGCCTAAATGTCTGACGTTCAGTCCGAGAGTATGGCACGTGCGGATGTGCAACGCCAGAAAGTATGCAACGTTTAGTATTCGTGGCATATTGTGGCTTCACCTTTGAGTCGCGGACTTGCTGAAACTTCAATGCATCTTCTTCAACTGCCGCCTCCTCGAACTCTGACAATCTAAGCAGTTTACTGTGTCAATATGCTGCACAGCTCTTCAAACTCACAGGCAGCAGCCTGTCTACCCTCAGCCCGACTCAAATTCCCAATCCCCAACCTGGCGCATCCATAACTTATGCATGCAAATGTTCTGTTCTCTCGCTGTTGACTTCGAAAAGGTAAAAGACAAAAGCGACAAAAAACAGTAAAAACTAGAACAAAAATAGAACAAAAATAGCAGAAGAGAAACGCTGTTGAAATTTGTGCAAAATGCGGTTATTGCAGCGATTATTTTAATGGTCCTTCTCAGTTACCGACAGAGTTGAGACTTTACGTACTTCTGAATTGCAGCCATTTCACTTTGCATTGCCGACATACTTAACATATCCCAAAAAAAAGGGTATTAACTCTGACACTTTGCGGCATTTATGAACTATTAATTACGGCGACGAGTTCCCAGTACACTCGGAGACTGGTTCCACAAAAGGCATCCGAATTAAACCTTGTAATAACCTGGTAAGTAGAATACTCTGTTTGAATAATGAATCGATACGAACAAAATATAAATCAGCAGAAAATTATGTCCATTAAAAACAAAAAAACTGCAAATTTAAACTCATAAATAAAGCTACATGAATAGGTAATCTAATTAGCCTATGGGCCAAATCAAATAATGACAGTTGAAAATGTTTGTCAAACTCTGCTTGTGATATGGAATAAAAGCGTATTTGCGCAATATATAAATAAATAATTCAACCCGCTGTCGCAGCCCAAAAATTATTTCCACAAAATTAAACACGCGCATATTTTTGGCGGTTATTCTGAATGCTCCATATCAAGTATGCGCCCCGCGATGAACTGCAACTTCCCATTCCAGAAAACACACAACTTCATGGCCCACATAACTTCATGGCCCACACAAAGTTCATGAGCAATTTTCTTGAATATTTTCCATTTTCTTTACTTTTCTTTTTAATTTACGCTAAATACTGCAGCGACATTTGAGGCGACACAACAGTCGCGCACAGCTGCAGTTACAGCTGCCACGCCCATTACTCATGGGGGGGTGGCGTTGGCTGCTTATATTTTATTTGTTGGCAAAAATTGCATTCATGAATTATTCAGTGAAGTGAAAAATTTGCGTTCCCACTGCCTCACTTTATATTTGTTTGGTTTTTTTTTTAGTTTTCTGAGTGGTATTTTTTCGAAGCATTTTTGTGAGAAAAAAGGATAGGGCAAGATGGAAATTATTTTTACTTTTGTGTGTGCCTGTCCAACATGTTTTGTAATGTCTGGTTATCGGCATTTTGGGTTAATATATAATGTAAAAGACTGGCACGGCGGACAACGCTGCGGTCGCGTTGATGATGCTCCAAAACCGACACCCCAACACCCTAACACCAACCTCCGTCCCCTGCGTTGACAAGTGGCTTGCTATGTAAATGTGTTTGCTTGAAAACGGAAACTGTTTATGCAGATCGAATATGCAGCGAACACTTCTATTCGCCTTGCTAGAATTTATGCTGCTGTTTGTGTCCACTTTGCCATATTTGCAAATGCACTCGCCGTTAACCAAAAGCGAAGCCATTTTTTTTATTTATTTGTTTATTAATTTATTTATTAATGGTCGACAAACCGAGTGTCTTCCTCATTATTCAATAGATTATACAAGATAATAGAATTATATGCAAAAGCCTAGTTAAGGAATACGATTTTCTAAATAGCATCACTAGGATAAAAGAGTTCTTAAGTAAAATTAAAAATAATCTTAGTTTGCTATATTAATAAAGAAAATAAAATAAATAGGAAAAAAAGAAAGTAAGAAGATTGTTAATAAAGTAAAGCAATGTAAGTTAGATAAGTAGATACGACAAAGAGAAAAGTAGTGGGTGGGGCAACATTTTTTCAGCCTGTCCGGCAAGCTATGCCCCTGCTCATAGCTGGGAATGGTCAGCGACTTCCCGAAGGTATCCTGAAAGCAACGATTTTATTAGGGATAGAGACAGTTCGGTAGAGAAAACGTGATGCAAACTATTATAATTTTTACATAGCACGCGAAAAGGATTGTGCATAGCGTAGTCTGTTGTGCACGTTGATAGGAATAACGGGCGATAATTTCTGGTTGGTCTAGCCGGAACAGAGAATTGAAGACGCCCTGGCAGAAAAGGAGGATCTATTTTGCCAATAATCAACTTATGTAGAAGGACAACACCGAGAATTGTCCTACGGTTGGTTAACAACGGAAGGTTGAGAAGAAGCAGTCTGCTGGAGTAGGATGGCAACCGAAGATTAGGGTCCCAATATTAATCTCGTAAGGCAAAAAGCAGAAATTGCTTCTGAACAGATTCAATACGATCCTGGCTATAGTTATATTGTGGAGACCAGATGCAAGAGCAGTATTCAAGGATAGGGCGAACAAGAGAGATGTACAGAAGTTTTGTTATAAAAGGATCGTTAAGCTCTTTAGACAATCGTTTAATGAATCCAAATAAACATTTTGCTTCATTAACGATTGTATCTATGTGAAGATTGAAACAGAGTTTAGAATCAAAAATAACGCCTAGATCCTTAACTGTTAGTATACGTTGCAAAGGGATATTGTCGATTGTATAACTGACAAGATAAGGTGTAGTACGATTAAAAGTCATAAACATACACTTTGAACAGTTTAGATGCAATTGATTGGCCGAACACCATAGTTGCATAGCGTTCAAATCGTCTTGTAGACGAGAATGATGTAGGGGATTAGTGTATGATAGAAAAAGTTTGACATCGTCATCATTTATCATTTATAAAAAGAGTAAAGAGTAAAGGTCCAAGATGACTACCTTGAGGAACACCAGAAGTAACGTGAACCCGTTTAGAGGTAGTCAGCCTCAGCATTACTCTTTGGGTCCTACTTTTTAAATAAGAATTAATCCAAAGCAAAAGAGACAGAGGGAAACCTATTCGGTCAAGTTTAAAAAGTAAAATGTCATGGTGCACAGAGTCAAACGCCTTACTGAAGTCAGTGTAAATGACATCAGTTTGCATTTTCGAAAGGAAAGCAACATTTACCAAGGAAGAAAACTCAAGCAGATTGGTCGTAGTTGACCGATTCTTTACGAAGCCATCTTGAATAGGGGAAAAAACTGATTTGCAGAAATGCTGCAAATTTGAAGTGATTATTTTTTCAAATAATTTAGGAATAGCGGACAGTTTTGCAATGCCCCTGTAATTTCGTATATCAGACTTCCCACCTTTCTTGTGAAGACGGACAGACAGACGGACATGGCTAGATCGACTCGGCTATTGGTGCTGATCAAGAATATATATACTTTATGGGGTCGGAGATGCTTCCTTCTGCCTGTTACATACATTTGGATTTTGCACAAATACAATATACCCTTATACCCATTTTTAATGGGTTCAGGGTATAAAAATTTGCGAGAGCGCGATGCACAAACAGAAAGTATGCTGCGAACACACGCGCAAACAAGTGTATGCACAGGGGAGCACCAAAGCAAAAGAATCAAAATAGGCAATAGCAACAACACGGAACTGACGCCGCGTTTTATAAATGCAATAATTGACAGACGTACGCTGCACAACAGATAACACTGCACAATTAAATAAAGGACCGAAAGCTGCAAAATTTTGAAATAAAAAGCAGGATTAAAGCGCAAAAATATATAAAAATCGTGGAGCACAAGTAAAACACGTCAATCACTCTCAACTAAGAACTCTCTATAGAAATTAGAATTGTAAAAATATACAATATTTCGCTGAGTGTACAATAACCTTACCATATTCTGCGGCATATCAATGGCAGTATGCAATTCTCTTGTTTGCTCTGTGGCGCAAGCTATACAAATGTGCCTCGAAACAATTCCTATAAAATAAATTCTGCATACATGAAATCTTCAGTCATTGTCATCTCAAGATTCCCTGTTGTCCCCAATTATTAAATATTTTGTTTAATTCCAGATGAAGAGCTGCCCCGCGAGCGATCATAAATAAACTATAACCAATGCTTAAGCTGAATGTTTTATTTTGTTTATCAGATTACACGCAACTATTTACGTCATCTAATTTTGTTGTCCTTTTATCCAATCCCCATCAGACGAATCACACAGTCAATTTTCAGTTCTATGAGTTCTATGAGAAATCATGTGTCATGATGTACTGAAAGCGTTTGTTATCCAGCGGCGTCAACCGATAGAAATTTCGGCACGTATGATTTAGTTCATTTTCATTGTGATATGGCGGCCATAAAGTGGTATAAGACACAACACTAAAACGAGAATAAATATTTAAAAAACAATAAAAGACTAATTATAAGGCAGTGGTTTGACAATACCGTACTAAATATGTGGCCTCACGAGCAGTTGGCTGATTATCGATTAGGCTTCTAATCTCATGACCGAACTGGTCTTCGTATTTTTTGATGGAATTGTTATAGCGCTCCTTACAAGCCATCTGACTGGGGTATTTTTATACATTTACATATGTTAAAAGCGTTCCATCAGAAATGCACAATGCACTACTTACAAAGGCACTTTGAAGTGAGTATAACTTGGATCTCTGGATATTAATTGTGGTATTTTCGGTTTGTATGGCTTGTCATCCAACGCATCGTACGGCTTCATATATTTTCTATCTTGGGGGTGGCGTTTAAACATATCGCCATAACGAGCCCGGGTGTCAATCGCGGGTACTTCGAATTTGCTGTATTCTGATGAGCGAACGATCTGACTACTTGAAGCAGCGCCAGTGGGTACGTTTTTCCGTGAAAAACGCGCAAGACGAGTCCCCGCAGATCTGTATGTCATTTCGGATATTATGCTGTTTTCCAACATGGCTTAAATAAAAATTCAGCTTCTATTTTTTTAATGAAGTAAACTAATTAAAGTGCGACAATGTGGAATTAAAGGAACTAAATTTTAAGTCTTTAAACTACTTATAACTGAAACGTTTTAACAGGCTTGCTAGAATTCCTATTATACGTTTAAGACATTTATTGGTTTTAAATGTGTGCCATATTTATAGTTGCTGCCTGAAGCCATCTGCTTGAAGGGCTTATAAATATTTGTGAATCTTAAGTAGCCTCAAGCAGCGCTTCATATAAACAAATGCTAATCATTCTGCCTTCGCCTGGTAAAATCAATAAACTACTGTTAACCATAATGAAATTATCAACTATATATCACACACACAAACACACACATGTGTGTGTGGGATAATGCCCACGCATGTAGTCCCGACTACACACACACAGTTTTGGAGCTCGACATTCTACGTTAAAATATGCAAATATATTTTAACCGAGAAACCTTTCAAAAGATTGCAGAGAATAGGGCGCTCAATATGTACGTGCCAGTATGTGAGTGAATTTTATCTGTGCCCTGTTGAGTGTAGGTGTGTGTGTGTGTGCACATAGCGTATGCGTAATTATATTAAGCAGCCAAAAATCTGCTTTTGTGTGTTCGGCATTGACTTGGCTCTAAAAATAAAGCTCACTCTGATGAAGTGCCGCCAAAACACCATTGAAATTGTTGTATTTCTCGGTGACTAACATGAATTTTTACTGGCAATTAGTTTTTCGGTTAGTTGGTTACACAAAAATCGGAAACGAGCAGTTGAGATGAAATGGTTACAAATGATTTATAAAAAATATTTAAAGTAAGTTAATTAAAGAAAAAAATAAGAAATTCTATGAATATGTCAACAGTCTCAAAACAATAACAAGTAAGAGGTTCTAGTCGGGAGCTCCCGACTAGGGGATACCCTGAACCCTCTTATTCCAACACCAAATAAATTAATAAATAAGCAACAATTTCGTAGAACCAAAAACAAAACCAAAATAAAACAAGTAAGAGGTTCTAGTTCGGAACTCCCGACTAGGGGATACCCTGAACCCTCTTCTTCCTACATCAAATGCGTATATATATTCTATTTTAGAAGCTGTATGTCAACTTTGGTGACTCTAGCTCTTATTATTTATCAAAATTGCCCAAAAAACAGGATATCGATATCGATTTTTATAGATTGATTGGAAACGGAGTAAGTTATCGATTATCGGAAACAAACTCGATCTGCGCGGTAACTAGGAGCATCTACATCTAAAATTTCAAGTCTCTAGCTTTTATAGGTTCTGAGGTCCTTGCGTTCATACATACGGACGGACGGACAGACAGACGGACATGGCTAGATCGACTCGGCTATTGATGCTGATCAAGAATATATATACTTTATGGGGTCGGAGATGCTTCCTTCTGCCTGTTACATACATTTGGATTTTGCACATATACAATATACCCTTATACCCATTTTTAATGGGTTCAGGGTATAAAAACATCTTTTAAGCAAAGTTTATAAAAACTTTAAGCTCAATAATAATTATATATATATAAATACATAAAAGCATATGCATTATATTCTAAGCTAAGTAAAACTAATTTCTCTAAAGATTTTAATGAATGATCTATAATTTCGATCATTAGTTTTAGCTAGAACAGTTTTCTTTAATTTCTAAATCTAAATTATTACTTATGCACTGAGCTCATGGCAAATGCTTTGTGCTGTTAACTATACCATTATTTCATGATTTTATTTTGGCACCCAATTTCAGGCTCTCTACATTTTCCTATTTGAGTTTAGTAAGAGATGCGTCCAGACCCTGGTCCGCCTACCCGGCTTGCTGCTAAGCGCAACAGAATTTATGGTTTTAATCTTTTGGCCTCACATTTTTTTGCCGACCAAAACACAGAGAGAGAAATGCCTGCAACAGAGTTCTCGCCTGCGTAGCCAATGCCAAATTCTACCAGCACGGCCTACGACATGGGCCAAGCGCAAACTGTGAAGATTTTATGGCTCAAGGACGTGGCGCTAGCACACTTTAAGGATATGCCAGGAGCCTTGCTGCAACGTTGCGTGGATTTGGATTTGTGTTTTCATTATAAATGAGCAGCGATGGGACCTACGACCAGAATGGAGGCGTTAACCGAGAGGCGTGTTCGGCCCCAAAACATTCCGCCAAGCAAATAAAACTGCGTAAAAAACACAACAGTCAAGCTAGCGGCCAGCAGATAAATCAAATTAAATTAAATGAAATAGTTGAGGATTTGAGGCTGCTGACAATGGAATCCCACTGCCATATTTGTGCTGCCAGTGCGCCAAGTCGAAGTCGCCCCAATGAATAACAAATGAAACAGTCGGCAGCGATTCAACCAGGAGAACGGCAGGGTATAAAAACAGCGCCGACAACAACAGCAACAACGACCCAAAACTGTCCCCAGACATTGTTGTCATCTTGTCTATTTATTCTCGCCGAGCCAACATATGCGTCTCCAGCAAAGATCATGCCGTGTAGCCAAATCAGGCATTAAGCGGCCGACAATCAATGTCCTTGGCGGCTGCCATACGCGTGCCAACTATATAAAGGATAACGCCGCCTACTTTACTCATGCCTCGTTGGGTCAATATAGGCGGCACCAGCTGAGTATATTAAACACATCTGAATAACTATTAATCTGTATGGATTTGCACGAATATGCGAAAAGTATTATTGGTTCAGTTATTGCTTTTTAACATTCCCGCTTACATATATAAGCTAAGCGTAACATTTTTTATTTAAATGGAATATCAAGAGGAAATTAATTTAGGTTCTCATATGAAAATGCAGCGTATTTAAAATTAAATAAATATATTTTCTTATATTTAGTAAAGGCAAATTGCATAAGCAAACTTCTTGCTGACAATTTCAATAAATAGTATCGTCAACTAGCATAAATATTGACTAGGACAGTGGGAAACCGAGGCCAAACTGTCGAAAAGCTTTAATATTGGACACGTGGCATACTTACGGGCAGTGCATATGTGTAACCCACTACCAATTGGCCAGCACTTCATATCCTGTCGCTGCACAAACAGCAAGCGAAATATCCTGGCGCAGATAGTTGCCGCTCACGGTGCCCGTTCCTCCACAAACAACCAAAAGGTCGAGGAAAAGCAATACTCAAAACACACTGGCGAATATTAAACAAAATGGCAATTTTGTGTTGAATATGAGCAAATTTTTTATAGAGTCGATTTTAATGGCAAACGAGACCGCAACTACCCATCAAGAGGACATGCCGCACGGATGTGCCAAAGCACTGCTGTCATCCGACTGCCGAAAATCAAATCAAATTGCACACTCAAGTTGCAGTGGCAAACAGGGCACCATCGCGAAAAATCAAAATCATGTATAAGCCCCACAACGAGAAAATAGAAAATTGTAGAAACTGGCTGCAGGTGCCGCTGGGCAAGAGCAACAACAATCACTAAAAGGAAAGAAAATACGGCGAAGCGACGAAAAACGGAAATAAAATCAAGCAAATTGAATGCGATGAGTTGGACGTGGGAATTCGTGCCAACAGCCACAACAACAGCAAGAACAACAACAACTTCTCCGATAGCAACAATAACAACGATAACAAAACCAAAACTTGGCGATAAAAAACACTCAAGATCAACGGTAATTGCTGCTGACAAATCCACAGTTGCTAGCCAATACACAGGCTGCAGAAAGATAGATACAAATACAGATACACATACAGATACAGATACAGACACAACTACAGTTAGACGCACTGCCATAACAAACCTAAATGTCAAGACTGACGACAGCAACCCCCGTTGCCAACCATGTCCAGCGCTCTGACCCACAAAAAAACAAGTAAGAGGTTCTAGTCGGGAGCTCCCGACTAGGGGATACCCTGAACCCACTTCATCCAACATCAAATATATATATATATATATATTATACTATTTATTGTTTAGCAAAATTGCCCAAAAAACAGGATATCGATATAGATTTTTATCGTTTGCTTGGAAACGGAGTAAGTTATCGATTATCGGAAACAAACTCGATCTGCGCGGGAACTAGGAGCATCTACATCTAGCTCTTATAGGTTCTGAGATCCTTGCGTTCATATATACGGACGGACAGACAGACGGACATGGCTAGATCGACTTGGCTATTGATGCTGATCAAGAATATATATACTTTATGGGGTCGGAGATGCTTCCTTCTGCCTGTTACATACATTTGGATTTTGCACAAATACAATATACCCTTATACCCATTTTTAATGGGTTCAGGGTATAAAAAGAAAAACTTTAGCCGGACAATTCGCAATTGTCGGAGTCTGTCGCACCCGCGTCCTCATTCGGAATCTATTTGTGGCAGCTCCCACTCCTCCAAACACTCCTCCCGCTGGCACCGTGCTTATTGTCGCATTTTAGGCGCTTCCGCTGCAACTCACTGTGTCTGTCTATTGCCATAAATCAGCCATCAGGAGTGGGCAGGCAGGGTACACAAATTCGAAATGCTTTGGCTTTTTGGGGGTTCGGTCATTGGGTCCTTCAACAGCATATCGCCATACGAGTCACAGCAGCTGCCATTTGCATAGTTTCTCGCCGCTGTGTTAATGTCAAGCTTTTGGTCAGCTATCTGATTTGTTTACCTTTTCAATTGAAATCGCGTTGCATGGCGAAAATCGGCCATTCCAATCACTCTAGAAAACAAATTGAGCACAGAGATTGCATTAACTATCCTCAATTGTGACTGAGCTCTGCCATTTTACTTTCCGTTCCGATCTATATGCTTAAGAAACTTTGTATTGCTTGATATGAGATAAAACCAAATTCCTCTTCTTTTTTTTTTTAATTTTAGTAAACAAAAATGTAAAATACAATCATATTTGAACTACTAGTTAAACGTGATTTTTAATTGTTGCCCAATTTGTAATACTTAAATTCAATTTTCTGCCTCATATATCTTCTAGAAGCAGCTACTCGACTATTATTATATTTAATTATATTATAATAAATACATAAAAAAACTTTTGTTGTTAATTTGGAAGAATATATTGTTCTGTGTGATACAATATGTTAAAATGGCCTTACAG